AGGAAAGCCAGAAAAAAACAAACATTTGCTTGGATTGGCTTTGTGCAGGAGAATGGCAGTGGGTGGTAAATTTGGCTGAATATGAAGATAAGGAGCATAGGTTTAGGAAAGTTAAAACTTGGAATCAAGATAAACACTGAGAAAAGATTATTTGCCTTCTGAGGCTGCCAACACCTTCCATATATGCAAATATTGAAGGATGAACTTGAAGTTGAAGATGACATCAGCATGTCTGGATCCAGATTGTACTTGTTTTCTTAAACTGAATAAAGAAAATGCTAGGCCATTTTTTCCAGTTTGTGCTGAAGACCGAAAGTACTGAAACATTTATCCACTAAAGCAATGGACTGTTAAAAGAGAAGTGCCCTGTGAGTCATTCCTGATGGACAGAAGTGGTGAGAATGGCTCCAGGATCAGAACACCTCTGGAGTAAACTACTCAGAGATCAGACCAGGGGAGGGATGGAGCAGGGGGATTTCAAGGCATTTCACAAGAGATCAGGCTATACCCAACAGATATTTGCTGAAAGCATGGTCTGGAAAGCAAACTGGCAATACAATGAAAGGTGTGACCCTCCACACAGGCATTCAATAAACTGGCTCTTCATCATGAAACTATCTAATTATCTCAGCCTACCGAGTTGTAAAATGCTGGGGTCCGTGCAGTAGGTATGGATGACAAGAAGGTGTGAAGAGAACAGCTCCCCTGCTTGGCAGGGCCTGGGGGAGCTTACAGCTGTTTGGCAGGGCCCTGCGGATTTCTCTCTGACCACCTTGACACAGTCTCACCCCCTGTTTGCATGGACACTCAACCACCCCACTAAGAATTCTGCAATCTATTAGGCATAGTTTGCCCCCTGTGAGATGGCTTTTACAGCCAACATGAGCTTAAAAGTTAATGTTACTGATAATGTCTTGGTGAGTGGGCCTTTAACTGTGCACAGGAATACAATTAAGCCCATGCTGTTTCCAGACACCTTATTGTGTGCCTAACCATTGCTCTGAGATCTGGCCCAAATATTTAGCGTGCTTTCTGGGAAATGGCCTGATAAGAGTTTCACAAACTAATGGAAGTGATGGGAGTATGGGTTGAAATTGCTATGACAAAAAATATAGTTACTGTGATCCTAAAGGCTATCCTGCTATGGCAAAATATAGCTACTGTGACCTTAAAGGTTAGCCTGTCCTTGCAACTCTCAACTCTTTAGAACATAGTAAATGTAGTTGCTTTGGCTGCCTTCATAATTTTTTAACTAGAGGAAATAGGGTGACTTTACTAACATCATGTATACTTTTGATTATTGTTTGATCATTTATGAGGTTGTAGAGCCTGCAGTTGTAGAGGGATTTAATGTTTAAAACTTTTGTCTTAGATTTTTATGTTTCTTCTCTTTTGATGTATTTCTCTCATTAAGTGATGGATAAGTTATAGAATAAGAATTGTAGTAGGAATGTATTACTGAATAAGATGTGTTGTCTACTGAGAAAATGTTGGCTGCAACATCAGAATGGATAATGTCCTGTCTTAAGGTGAAACTATCTGTAGAGTTGTCTTTGGAAACATTTACTTGCCCATTGTAGAGCAGAAACCTAAATAGAGGAAACATGGCTCATTGCTAGTTGCAGTTCCTCCCGTCGTTGTAACTCTTGCTTAGTTAGCAAACTGTGTGGGCCTGCAGACCTAATGACCTTTGGTGCCAATACCCTAATCCCCACAAACCAAGGTCTCAGCCTTTTTCCCATGCATAATTCAAGGTAGGGGTCTGGTTGTCACAGACAGCGCCAAGGATGGGACCCAGACTTGAAGGAAGTAAGTAGGGGCTGGCAAGCCGAGATAAGCAAAGAATGTGGGATCCTCCCTCACTCACCTCTCAAGCGGTTGTAAATTGTGCCCCCCTTGAAGCCATGTCAAAATGCCCTAAAAAAAGACTGTGTACTGCTTCTGTATAAATAAAGCGGACAGCTTTCTCGCGGGGTCCACAATGATGTTGGAATTGTAGTGGTCCGTCTCTTCTTTCTACACCTACTTCACGCACCCTTCTCGAGCTCCGAAGTCAGCTGGAGCTGGACTCCGGCAGTAAAAGTCATAATAAGAAATATTTTCTGATTAGCTAATCTGTATAATTATTATTTACTCAATATCTTTCTGTTTAATACCAGTTGCTCACCACCCATTTCAGTAATCGCAACAATTTTCTTCAATAAATGCTGATGTTACAAAAATTGGTTCAGGCAATACAAAGGTGAAACATTTTAAAGCCAAAATTAAGAGAAGACTTTCTGAAGTTATTGAAAAGGATGTCATAGAACCATTTGGATCACATGCAAATCAAGTAGTTGGGCACTGCCGCTACATGGAAAACCCTGGCTGAGTCTCTGGGCTCCCAGCTTCAACCTGACACAGCCCCTGCCTTGGTAAGTATTTGGGAAATCCATCAACAAACGAGAGTCCTATATAATTCTCAAATAAAAAAAATTATGAAGAATGTGCTCAAGTAATCAAAAAAAAGTTAAGAATATCTTACAATAACATCTTGAACTGGAGCACTTAAGAGTTAACAGAACTCATCACAGAGGTCTTCCACACATTTGGTTAGCTTAATTCCTAGGTATCTAAGATTCCTCTCCACTATCTTAAAGAGCACACTAGTGCCATCAATTTGTGTTCATTAATTTTGTATCCTAATACCCTGCCAAAGTCTCTTATGAGTTCCAGTAGTGTCTTGACTGAGTCTTTTGGTTCTCCTAGGTAGAGAATCCTGTCATCTACAAATAGAGATACTTTCATTTTCCCATTTCCAATTCCTTTTTCTTGTGCAATAGCTCTGACAAAGACATGTCTAGACAATGGGATGCTGGATTGTCTGACACTGTCTCTACCAGCAATGTCGGGGCACACTTTTAACAGACTGGTAGAATTGTAACATGTCATGAAGGACTACATTATTGTAACAATAAGGGGAAAATCAGTTGCGGGGTGGGAATTTTGGGGGTAATCCCAGACTCTACATAATCATACCATAAAATTCAACATAAAAAAAAGAAAGATTAAAAAAAGACTTAACAGAGCTCACAGAAATTTCCTAGGAAAGGGGAAAAAGCAAATAAACACTTCAAAAGTGTTAGCTGAGGAGAAACACAGAACAAACCAAAAACAGCTACCAGAAAAATGAATCTATTAAAAAATGTATTACAATTAAATGGAAGTTGGTATAGGCATTACATTAAATATTAAATTTCTTAAAATAACTGAGGGTGTTAAGGATGAAAAAATGAAGCAAAGGGACAAAGGTATGATATCTACATTCTAGGTCTTTGGCAAGGAGTTAGCAGCACTGCATCAAAAACAAAACACACAAACAAACAGAACCAGAAGAGCGCAGGGTGCCAGAGTGGGCAAATGAAGAGGCACAGATGAAATCCATCTTTCTGGAGCCACATGAGATTCTCCTCCCATGCCCCTGCTACGGAAAAGAAACCTTCAGGTAAGGGACCCTAGAAGAAGCAGGCCTTAAACCGTGTGCACTAACTCATTCTCATAATCTCTCAGCCAGGAGAGAAGCACTACTACTAAATCTCACTTTACAGGTGAAATAAAGGCCTAAATCTAGCAGACGATTTTAAATAGCATGAAGAGCTAAAACATTTCATCAATGTTTGTTTCAAAATTACAGATTCATTTCCCTTGCAGGGATATCTTTTAAAAGAAAATCTTGTCACTCATGTGTTGGTTACTCAGTGGTGCGTTTTTTTTTTTCCTGGTGTTGTAATTTGTTGTTGTTGTGGTGGTGGTGGCTGTTCTAACTCATACCAGTTGTTGACCTGGTTTCATGGCTTCTCAATTATGGAAATGTACAGTGATGGAGTAATGGGGTCTATCATATACAGATGTGGAGGAATAATGGAACATGCATCCCTCCATTCAGACGAAAGATAGATTCCCAATGAAACTGATGGATGTCAGACATGTAGACAATGGGATGCTGGACTGTCTGACATTGTCTATACCAACAATGTCGGGGTACATTTAAATAAAAGACTGATAGAATTATGATTCCTTTGTAGTAAAATGGGGAAAATCTGTTAGGGGATGGGAGTTTGGGGGGGAATCCCAGCCTATACAAAATTGTACCACATAATTCAGAATTCAAAATAATAATGTATTAAATTTAAAAAAAAGAAAAAAATCTTTGTTCTTGTCAGGACTTTATAACATGCACATTTTCCAGCCATTACAACAATGGCTTTAACCAAATCTTCCATCATATAAACTGACAACTGGAAATTATGACTCCAAGGGCATCAAATGAAGACAACAGGTACAACTGATCCTGGGGAATCAGGCACTCAAAACTCATGAAATGTACTTGCCTCCAGAAACAAGATGAGATTTGAAGCAACCTCTAGTTAGGTAACATGACCCCATGTTTCAGTGATTATTCTAGATTTAGAGTTCTTATTTATTCCTAAAATATTCTGTCTGTAGTTTGCATGGATCCCTTTAAATTAAGCTTTTTGTATCTTCCCTTGTAATTGAAGCAAAGTGCAGTTACAGAAACAAATCAATAAATAAAGATTAACTTTCTATTTTTCATCTTTTTAAAAAATGAGAACATTACTCTCTACTGTTCAGAGTTGTTTAAGGGACCGAATCAATTTACATATGGAAGATACTTATCTAACTTCCAGATACACACAGTTTTCATTTTTCTACAGCATGCAATTACTAGCTTTTTGCCACTAGATGGCAACTGTGCATCAGCAGGTGAAAATAGAAACAACAGTTTTATTTAAGCAATGTGTAAAAAACCATAGGTGATTTCTGGCATCTGATGGGTAGATCAAATTTTAGGCATTAAAAGGAGATGCCACGGAAATTCCACATTCTGTAACAAACTAAATAGATTAGTACCCTTATTTCTCATCTTTAAATCTTCAGTCACCTTAATTATGAGTCTGAGTAATCTAAGGAAAAGGGCATTTATGCAACATCAAACATACCTCTGACCCCAAACTGAGAGAAATGATCTCATCCTCAAAAGCAGAATGCGTGTCAACATGAACAGGAATTCCTGAGAGGAAAACAGGTAATGAGTCACTTTAATTTCCTTTTAGTAGATTTAAGATGACTCTAAATATAACCTCACACACTAAAGCAAAAATATTTTGTCATCAGGAAGATCCCCTAGTCTGAGTTAAAGAGAAACATTTAAGGGGACTATGACTAAAAAGAAAATATCAACTGTAACCTTAAAATGTAATTCTTGGGTCTGGCATGGTGGCCTAGCAGTTGAAGTCCTTTCCTTGAACACACTGGGATCCCATTTGGGCGCTGGTTCTAATCCCGACAACCCTGCTTCCCATCCAGCTCTCTGCTTGTGGCTTGGGAAAGCAGCCAAGGATAGGAGACCTGGAAGAAGTTCCTGGCTCCTGACTTAGGATCAGTACAGCATCAGTCGTTGCGGTCACTTGGGGAGTGAATCATCGAACGGAAGATCTTCCTCTCTGTCTTTCCTCCTCTCTGTATGTCTGACTTTCCAATAAAAATAAATAAATCTTTTTTAAAAATGTAGTTCTTAAAATGTGTTTACTTGAAAGGCAGAGTGACAGAAATAGCACAGAGAAAGATCTTCCATTCACTGGTTCATTCTCCAAATGTCCGCAACAGTAGGGGCCAGGCCAGGCCAAAGCCAGTAGAGCCAACTGCCTAGGCCATCACCAGCTGTCTTCATAGAAGCATTAGCAGGAAGCAGGATGGCACATGGAATAGCCAGGTCTCAGACCAGGACTCTGACAGGAGATGCAGGAGTCCTACGTAGTGCTTAACCCTGCACCACAATACACCCCCCTAAATCTAAGAGTATCCTAACTGTAAGGTAAAAATCCATTGGGCCTAATCAAGTCGTGGGAGCCACTGTCTAACTAGCCCAAGAGGAAGATGTGAAGACAAATACCAAAGTTAATATTCCCCTAGAAAATGGTGGATCCCCAAGTACTTGTGGAACAAAAGCAACAGCAAGGAGCGAAGATGCAGCATATAGATAATTACAACCAGCTTGTTCAGTCAAGCTGTCCATCCATGTTAGCTGAGCACCTCACAGGCAGAGAAACCTTGCAACAGGGTGAGGGTGTACAATGCAAGCAACATTCAGTCCCTATTCTCAAGGAGCTGATACAGCAATGGAAACTCAGGTATGTAAATCAACAATGAAAACACACTGAAATAAATACATGAAAATCCTTAAAACCATTAAAATCCTTAAAGCCATGAAATCATTACAAACATCAGACAAAAATATTAACAACTGTTAGAACTCAGGAACCTAAAAACTCTGCTAACATCCTACAACTGTCTTCCACACTCTCAAATAAAGATCATTCAACCAATGAACCTTTTCTTCCATAAAATTAGTTGGTGTACTCCATTAATATACCTATTTCTCAACCATCACTTCCTATTATTAAAATGTTGAGAAATAACAAGGACAATCGAAAACAGAAGTGTGTGTCATTTTACCTATACTTTAGGTTCTTCTTATATGTACTCTTTTAATTTTTTTATTTTGCTTTAAAATTTAACTATTTATAACATTTTGCCACATTTCCTTCATAAGTAGACATCACATACATACAGACAAATGCTTTTTTTTTAAGTTCCCTTCAGAACTGAGATCAACACAAGTAACTAGTACAATGTGATATGATAGGTGGTTTAACAAAAAAAAAAAAAAAAAAAAAAATTTATCTCAGAGAGCCACAGAATCTACATAGCTCCGAAATACATCCCTGGAATTTTACAAGAAGAAATACTCACCATGCCCAGGCTGATACTGATTTATGGTCAGTTGATCAGGTTTATGTTTAATGTAACCTTCCTTCAACCACTTCTCCAAAAATCTGTCACAAATATCAGGGAGACCTAAAACCATTAGTCATAAATACAAAACATAGTTAAACACTTCCTTTGCATGTTTTACCTAAGAACAATAATTTTTAAAAAATGATAGAGATCAATAGCGTTTAACATGGCAGTTTGAATCAATTAATAATAAAAATCCACAGAGTAAAATGTAAAGGTAAGAATAAAATTTTCTTAAGAAGCTTATTTCGCTAGTTTTATCAAATATAAAGCCCAAAAGAACAACTTACTAATAATTTTGATATTTTGCAACATACTAATAAGATTATAAACTATAATACATAGTGGAAATTAACTTGACCACTTCTGACCGTTCTTTGCTAACTTTTCAGTTAAGCTAGTTTTCTGGAATTGTAAGCATTGTTTCATAATGAAAGAAAAAGTTTAAATATAAGATCAGAGTCATAAAAGTTTAACTCAAGAGCATTCTAGCAGAGGAGTAAGAGTTTGGTGGCAGTTAACACCCTGCCCAGGTCACCCACATCCCGTATCAGAATGCCTGGCTAACCAGGCGTTCCAGCCCAGCCCCACTGATTTCAGCTTCTTGCTGAGGGGCGCCATGGAGGACTGCTGGTGACAGCTCAGCGATTACCACCTTTCCACCTATGTGGGGAACCTCACTGGAATTCTGGGCTCCTGGTTTGGGCCCGGTCTTAAGAGAACAGGGCTCCCCTGTGGTCCCTGCTTTTATAGTCTTTATCTTGTGTCTCATTTCTTATTTTCCCCAATACGACTTCACCTCTCTCTCCAGCCCTGTTCCTGCAGTGTAGGTCACGGTAACAAAAAAGAATTATACCACAGAATTATTATCAAGGGTATACAGTAAATCTTATTAATCAGCTAAATAACACATTATTTTAAAAAAAAGCTGATAAAGGATATGTAATGAAATTCAAAGAAAAGGGAAATAAAAATAGCCATCCCATGAGTAATCAGGAAATTACAAATTCAAGTTGTATTAATAACAGGGATACATTTCGTGAGACTATTGATAATACTGGTTTTTTGGTGTGTTTTTTGTTTTGTTTTGTTGTTGGCAGAGCCGCTTTGGAGATAAATCTGAACTAACTAGCATGTTTTGAATGAATATAATCTTTGATATGATTTTAATTTTTAGTAGGTTCATTCAAGAAACTCTGGCCTAGTGTACAAGAGGCACCACTGCAGTGCTGCTTACAGAAGCTAAAAACTAGAACCAGCCTATCCTTCAACAGGAAACTAACTGAACCAATCATTACAGGACATTCATTAAAATGAAAACTGCAAGCTCTTCACATACCTCCTGTATTACACGTCCTGTGAAAGATGTAGCGTGGGTAGAAAGCCAGCTGCCGGGACACATGCAGGTGTGTGCACGCCATACCATTCATACCACGCAACAGCACACATGCGAAGCCACACACCAGTACAGGTGTCTACATGTACAGATATGAGCTCACTTTTGAAAAAGTTAAATAATTATGTGGGGTCATCACTGTGGTGTAGTGGGTAAAACTCTCGCCTGCAGTGCAGGCCTCCCCTTTGGAAGCTGGCTGGAGTCCTGGTTGATACACTTCCTTTAAGCTCCCTGCTAACAGCTAGAAAAGCAGCAGAGCATAGCCCAAAATGCTTGGGCCACTGCACTGGGACCCTGGAAGAAGCTCCTAGCTCCTGGCTTCAGATCAGCCCCAGCTCTGGCTGCTCTGGCCATCTGGGGAATAAACCAACATATGAAAGATCCCTCTGTGTCTCCCTCTCTCTGTAACTTTGCCTTTCAAATAAATAAATAAATCTTTTTAAGAAATAGATAAATACTAAACTAAAATGGTAATAGCTCACACTTTCAAGAAGCATGGGTGCAAAAACGGTGGTCAAAAGGAACTTCAGCTCTATCCACGTTCAATTTTTTTTCACAAAAAATATACTATTTAGCTAATTACAATTTTTTCACCATTATCATTCCAGAGGTTCACCTACAAATAAAAAAATTAAAAATACACCTTCAACTATGACCTACTATTAACATATTAAACCTGTTTCTCAACCAGTATTCATCATTTATTAACAATTACTTACCCCCAGGGAGTGGCTTCTCTTTATCTACATTGTTGTTTTCATAATGGAATTCATAACCAAAATGTTTTACTCTTCTGTGTTTCAAAGATTTCTGAACTATGTAAAAAAAAAAGATTTGAGAGGAAAAGAACCGCATTTTCTCACGTATTTCAAAGTCAACGTTCTAAGTAAAGATTTGTCTAGCAATGGTAACTTTCACCAAAGGCTAAATTACTCGCCTTAATCAAATTAACCATTCTGCTTATGTCTGTTGTTCTTTCAAGTCTGAAATTATATTAAGCATTGGAAGAGTTCCATCCAGCCAAAGTGAGCGGTAAACACATGCACTGCCGCTCAGAACTCTGCTAATGATCTGGAAAAAAATAGTAGCCCTAGCTTGGAAGTATCTCCAGAGGTTCTTACTAGATAACATAATGTTTCCTCATAGGAACCTGTTATAAAATGCAGAGAAGCAAATGAAGCAATCATTGTGAAAGGGCTCATAACAGTTATTTACACACAGTTATGCACTGTGGGTTATAACTGGCTTCCCAGATCACAGTGCCAGGTCAAGTCCAGGCTGCCCCACGTCTGAGCCAGCTTCCTACTGATGCAGCTAGAAAGGCAGTGCAAGGCGGGCCCCTGCCACCAATCAGAGTAAAGCTCCTGGTTCCCGGCTCTAGCATGGCCCAGGCCTGCCTGTTGCAGCCATTTGGGAAGTGGACTAGTGGATGGAAGATCTCTTTGTCTCTCTTCTTTGCAATAAATACACAAGTCTTTAGAAAACAAAAGTTCGTCATAAGAATGTTGGCTAGTAAACAATCAGTCTGGAGTATAGCAATTTATCAGTCTGGGTTTTAAAACTAATATTTTCCATTATTAATGTTCCTAAGAATTACTATTATGACTTTCTAACATTAGCTACTTTCAATAATTTTGAAGAAATATTAAGGGTTTTGATAAAATAAAGAAGCAATAGCATCACATTTTGCAGAAACTATTCAATATCAGAGTTCAAAATTGCTACCTAAAATTTCAATTACCTGTATCTTCTGTCCAATTAATACTTTCCAAAAGCATTTTCTCCTCCTCAGAAGAAATGATTTCTTCTATTACCATAAGGCCTGGAGGTAAGGTCTGATGTTCCAACTCCTTCCACTGCACTGTAGAAAATCAAATTAAAATAGTCACATATAAAACTTAAAGTTCTTAACTGTAAATAATTCAGTCCTGTGGCCACATACAGTTCATAAAACTCCCAATTCTCACATAAGGAATAAGAACACTGGAAGCATGTAACATATCAAAAATATGAAAACAAATATTAAAATTTTTATACATTTCATCTACTGCAATTACCAAAAGCAAACAATAGTATTTGCTTAATCATATTCTATTTGAATGTAATTGAATTACTTTAAAAATATCATTAAGAGACAAGGTACAGCCACAATATGTAACTTAACTAAAAAGTCAAAATGTCATGGCTGGTGTTTTGGGTAGCACATTTAGCTGCTGCCTGCAATGCTGGCATCTGTATGGGCACCAGTCCCCTTCCCAGCTGCTCTAACCTCCCATCCAGCTTCCTACTGAGATACCAGATAAAACAGTAGAGGACAGTCTAAGTGCTTAGACCCTGAACCTGGAATAACGCAAGTGATTAAAGAATGTTTATTAAAACAAAATAATTAACTGATGACCTTATATCAGAGGAAAAAACTGCCCCCACACTGTTTTGTCTCTAAAAACTCATACATACAAGAACCATTTTAAAAAGAAATTGGTGTGACAATACCTTTTTCCACAAAATTCAAGTACAAAATGATCTTTTGTCCTAAATCGTCTAGTATTTCTTTTCCATTAAGAGTAACATATGCATTCCTGGATTCTTCCGCACTTTTGTATCTTACAAATGAGTAGGGCTTATTGGGTGGCATTAAGAGGGCCTCCACCAGTCCACATTCCTCCAACACTGACAGCAGCTGGTTCCTACTCATACCGTTACCCAAACCACCATTGGCAACAACCAGGTTCTTAAAAAAAAAAAACAGAGAAAGAAAGCAATGTAAATTACAAATGTCAACATGATTGTTTAAAAAAAAGTCAGACAGCATTATTTTTAATTAATACATCTACACATATGTAATTATGAAAAGAAATGTTCCATTATGATTATCTGGTTTGCTAGCTGCATGTAAAGCACATAAATTAATTCACTAAACTTTTGGGGAATAAAAAGTACTAATACGTTATAAATATTTAAATAGTCTTTCAGAGAAATATGCATTATTTAACTATCATAAATATAAATGAAAAGATGATTTTTTTATTTTTCAGAAATATAAACTTGACATAATGGAAAGGACAGAGAAGACTCAAGTTGTTCTATGACAGGGAGCATGGCCCCAAGACCATGGGTCCCCGCTTCCTCGTGGCAGTCTGCAGTAAAGCTCCAGGCTTCCAGCTCCAGACCAGCCCAGCTCTGGCTGCTGCGGCCATTTGGGAGTGAACCAGTGGATGGAAGACCTCTTTCTCTCTTTTTCTCTCCCTCTGTCTCTGAAACTGTGGTTTCAAATTAAAAAATAAATCTCAAAAAAAAAGAAAATAGGTTAAGGTGGTAATTATTACAGAGAGTTGTGCTTCAGGGTGATTTCTTCGGTTTTCAAATCCAAACTCTTAATCTAACCTCTCTATAATATTCAATAGGAACTAAACTGGGGTCTGGTGCGATAGCTCAATGGCTAAATCCTCACCTTGCAGACAAGCACTGGGAATCTTTATGGATGCCAGTCTGTGTTCCAGCTGCTCCACTTCCCATCCAGCTCCCTACTTCTGGCCTGGGAGAGCAGTATACCATGACCCGTACCCAGGTGGCAGACCCAGAAAGAGTCCCTAGTTCCTGGTTTCAGATCAGCTCAGCTCTAACCACTGCAGCCATTTGAAAAGTGAACCAACAGACAGATCTTTCTCTTTCTTTCTTTTTATAAATCTGATCTGCCTTTTCAATTAAAAGAAAAAAAAAAAAACTATACTAAAATGGAGCAGGCCTTTAGCCTAGAAAGTAACAGGCCATTTGGAGTATCTGCCTCCCATAGCACAGTGTTCAGGCCCAAGCACCTTGATTACCACATGGGAAACCCAGACCGAGTGCCAGGCTCCCTGCCTCCACCTGGCCTAGCCCCAGCTGTTACAGGATTTGTGAAGCTAATCAGTGGATAGGCGTTCTCTCCTGTCTCCATGTGCGTTTCAATTTCTTCCCTGTCATTTTCAGTTGGCACTAAACCTCATTCAAGGATTTCATTTGTTCTTGTGTGTTTTGAAGCAAGAAAATTGCATCTCCTATTTTTTTTTTTCTGAGATGTATGGCCTAGGACCCACAAAGTATATACTTAAAACTGATTCTGTTAAATGTTAAGATCTTCAATTTACAATCTATGACTTTCAGAAACACTGTAGTACAGAAAACTGAATCTTTGATAGCCAACTCTCATCAATTTCACAATTTATGCCAGGCATTGGCAAAATTTGTCTAAAAAAGAGTAAGTATGTTGGGCCTCACGAGCCATACACATTTCCCTCACAGTCATTGATTTATATTTTAACAATCCTTTAAAAACGTTAAACCCAAGGACTGCCATTGTGGAAAGTTGGGTTAAGCCACCACACGGCACACCAACACCTGATATCAGCGTGTGTAGGCCTGAGTTCTGCCTTTATTTCCAACGTAGCTTCCTGCCAATGCACAGCCTGGGAGGCAGCACAGAGTGGCCAAGTGCTTTGGTCCCTGCCTCCCTCATGGGACACCCAGATGGAGTTCCTGGCTCTTGGCTCAGCCTGATCTAGACCTGCCTACTGTGAGCATTTGGAAAAAAAACACCAGAAAGAAAGATGCTCACTTTTTATCTTTCCCTTTGCCTCTTCCTTGTCCTCACTCTTTGAAATACATAAAACTTTAACCCATTATTAGGTTATTAGCTAGATGTGGCCTGAGGCCCAACAATTATATGAAATTCAAGATTAATACATAGTGCAGCGTATTCAGTTTATCACACATTTGAAAACCTAGAATCTTACCTGAAAAGAATGCAACAAAGTTACTATAAAATTAGATAACAAGAAAGGTAAAACTCTGTTCCATCTTGGGATAGCCAATACTTTATATGTATCCAACTATACACATAACACATATTAAACATACCCAATAGATAACATGGCATAAAATTTAATCTCAGACGGCTTGCCTCGGTCAATGAGAACTATTAGTTAAAATATCAAAATATTCTGGTTAGATGCAACTATAATTAACAGAATCATTTTCATATTCTTAAACCAGTGGCGTTGCTGCTGAGACTTCATCGATGTCCAAGGTCCTCTGCTCAGCCAGGAAGAGGAAGGTGGCGAGGCATGCCTCGAGGGGAATAGTCCAAACAGATGCTGTCCACAAGAATTATGGACAACTGTAATGGCAGACAGTACAAACACAGGGGAAGGCAGGGAGCAACACACTCCTATTACACATGAGTTACACAACATAACCACATACAAGGATTGTATTTATAATTACTTATCCAAGCCATTTTGTCAGTAACGAGAATTACAAAGCAGAAAATTGACTTTTTATAAGTTATCTTCAGTCCTGACAATTGCTCTTGAAAAATTTCATCATGTTATAAATTTGCACAAAAGCATCTATATTTATGTCATTAGAAGAATATTTGTTCTCTCCAGGATAGATAAAATGTAATTGGAGTCTGTATACAAATCTGCTTTTTCCCTTTAATAATATTATGGAGGAAAAAAATAATCAAAGCCCAGATTAAACACAGTTTGGAAGCCATGAGTATGGAGCAGAGTGTTGAAATATTAAGAATTTTGGAACAATTATATATAATAATTACTATAACTATACTCTATAATTTGAAAACACTTTTGCAGTGCTATTATCAATATATATGTAAAATTTTTTCTAGTTAAATCAATGGAAATCCAAATTATAATGCCTCCTTGGCCTTCTGGCTAAGATCAAATGAAATTCAAATTATAAGCTAGGCTATAGGCTGAAACAGAATGTCCTATAGTAAGTATGTTTAATATGGATGTAACACAAGTACACAATGAACATAATATATTAACATGTCAACATGTTTACATTTAATCAATAATAGTTTTATGTCACCTGAGTGGCAGAGGACACTATTTCAATGCCTTCATGTCTCAGAAGAGTATGTTTGGCTTTCATTTGTTTCCTTAAGAGTTTCTTCTCAGCTTTGTTGAGTTTGCAATTACTCTGATGTCGGCTCTCCATAGCAATACTGAAAAAAAAAAGGTAAAAAAATTCAACCTTAAGAGTCAAAGAAATAATCATAAAATCATAATAATGTTATTGGTATCTTAATAGACTATAAAAATTTCTGTGCAAAGAGTTTCTTAAAGCCTTAGTTATCTTCCACCAATCTAGAAAAGTGATCACAACAACAACAACAAAAATGTCCAAACAATGAAATACCTAAGAAACTTAATAACATTTCTGAGGGTTCTAGAAAAGTCTCAGCTCCATGAAGTGCATATAAACTGATACAGAGTAGAAGGTATTCCACACAGCAGAAAAGAGCTAAAATAAACATGGACATGTCTGGTTAGACAATAAAATGCTGGCATAACTTTTTTAGAGAAGAGAGAGTCACGACTCTCTGGTCCCATTGTCTGTTCACTGCGAAGTCAAAAAAAGGAAAAAAATTAGGAGGCTCAATAAAATCAGATTTCAAAAACAGCAAATAAATACTCAAAATTCTACTTAGTAATCTTTAAGTACAGAAGAAACGCTGCCTGCCAAGCCTATCGCATTGCCAGCAATCCGTCTTCGTAGCACCCAGGGTCGTGTGACAGAGTGAAGGCTGCAAGGCGGGCTGTCCGGACAGCACAACAGGCAGGCGGCAGGCAAGGAGATCTATAACAATACATCAACTTGGCAAGTAGAAGTGCACCTCTGACAGGCTGCAGGCAGCAGAAAGAAAAGAAACAGAAGGAAAGCAGGTTAGGTGAGAAAAAGTTCAGGCAGAATCAACTACTCAGACATGAGAGAGAAAAAGACAACTTTCTACCAGGTGAATGTCTGAGTGACTGAGATGAGTGACACCATGACAACACTGGCTGGCCAAGAAGGCGGCTAGGCAGAGCTGCTCTGTAAGGGAAACAGTCAGATTCCGGTATGTTCATGGCACCAGGTGGGTACACAGTCGCAACGTCTGGCAGGTGACAAGAGGAAATGGGTCCTTCGGAAGAGACTGAGGTCTACAGGAAAGGTTTCTAACATTGCACTATTATTTGTTCTAACATCTGCGCCTTGCACTGGACAATGATGTCTTCAAAAACAAGAACTAATCATTCTTTCTCTAGTTGACTCAGACCCTCATTCCGGGCTACATGGCAGTAGAACACAGTGTTTAGGAGTTCAGGCTCAAAATTTCAGCTCTAGGGCCCGGCAGCTTGGCCTAGCAGCTAAAGTCCTCGCCTTGAACACCCCGGGATCCCATATGAGCACTGGTTCTAATCCTGGCTGCTCCACTTCCCATCCAGCTCCTTGCTTGTGGCCTGGGAAAGCAGTTGAGGACGGCCCAAAGCTTTGGGACCCTGCACCCATGTGGGAGACCTGGAGGAGGTTCCTGGTTCCTGGCTTCGGATCAGCGCAGCACCGACTGTTGCGGTCACTTGGGGAGTGAATCATCGGACGGAAGATCTTCCTCTCTCTCTCCTCCTCTCTGTATATCTGACTTTGTAATACAAGTGAATAAATCTTTAAAAAACATTTCAGCTCTATAGTTATTAACTATATGATCCTGGGCTAATTATATACCTCTGTGTTTCAATTTCTTCGTCTGTGAGTAAAGATATAATCACAGCAGGAGCCACTGCATAGTAGGACTAAGCCTCTGCCTGTGGTGTCAGCATTCCATATGGGAGCTGGTTCGAGTCCTAGCTGCTTTACTTCTAAAGCAGCTTCCTTCTTATGGCCTGGGAAAGCAGCAGAGAATGGCCCAAAGTTCTTGGGTCCCTGTACCCATGCAGCAGACCAGAAAAAGCTCCTGGCTCCTGGCTTCAGATCAGCTCAATTCTGCCACTGTGGCCATTTGGGGAGTAGACAAGCAGAGCAAAGATTTTTTTTTTTCTCTTTCTCTTCTTCCTTCTCTCTGTATAACTCTGCTTTTCAAATAAAAATAAATATTTTAAAAGCTATATTAATCATGCTTCTCATAGCTTTGTCAAGAAAGATTAAGTTCATTTTTTTACTCTATTACTGTTATTTTCAGAAGAGTCAGATAATAGTTTTAAACAATGATGAATAGTTGAGGACTTCGAAAGAACTACTTTACAGACACCCTACTTCAAGATCTCCGTCTCAATATTTCCCATTGGCAAATGATTGCAAAGTGGAAAAACTGAGACAGAAAAGCTGCTGAAAATCTTGCAAGTCAGCTGCCAATAACGCAACACCACCAGAGGGAGCCCTATAACCACATTTCTTTCATCCTCTCCCAGAGCGGTCCCTCTGTCATAGAGCTTACTGCCCGTGAAGACAAGTCTGGATGCTCTGGGAAGCTTATTTTTACTCCAATTCAATAGCTTTGCAATTCTCAGGCTCCATAGATCTGAGTCACCTCAACAAGGAATAGGCTGATATCTGAGATCTGGAGGTGCACCTCTCTAAGAAAGCTGCAACCCTAGCAGGGGGTTTCCACCACTGCACAGGTATTTGCATGCTCCACTGCATATTACAGAAAGTCACCACCCACTAGGATACCAGCTGTACTGAATACAGTCCAACCACTTGCAATCTAAGCAAATTCTCTGGGATGAGAATTTGATGATGATGCATTCTCTGCAACATGCTTGTTGGTAAATTTAACTCCAGTGTACCACACTGTATATTATCCTGTATGTGTGCCCATTATGAACCGGGAAGCAATGTGTGCCCATTATGAACCAGGAAGCACAGGGGGAAAAAAAAGTGCCTTTGCTTAAATTACATGTAATAGCAAAATTAGAAAGATTCTAAATTCTTATCAAAGGAAGCTTGATTTTTTTAAAGTGCAGGGCAACTTCTAGTTGTACATCTAGCTCCTTGGAACATACAAGATACTGGTGACACAGGCTGACTCCAGGGAGAGGAGATTGGTAAGTGAGTACAGGAATGAGAAGGAGAATTCACCTTCGATAATATATTTTTAATTTGGTCTCTGTTCATATTAAATTACCTACTTTAAAATAATGGTTTTGGGTCCAGCACAATAGCATAGTAGTTAAGGTCCTCACCTTGCACGCACAAGGATTCCATATGGGCACCAGTTCATTAGAACCCGGTTCATTAGAACCTGGCGGCCCTGCTTCCCATCCAGCTCCCTGCTTGTGGTCTGGGAAAGCAGCTGAGCACAGCCCAAAGCCTTGGGACTCTGCACCCACATGGGAGACCCTGAAGAGCTCCTGGCTTCAGATTGGCTCACCTCCAGTCATTGCAGCTGCTTGGGGAGTGAACCATCGGATGGAAGATCTTCCTTTCTGTCTCTCCTCCTCTCTGTATATCCGTCTTTCCAATAAAAATAAATAAATCTTCTTTAAAAAACAAACAAAAAAAACCCACAATGGTTTTAAATAAATAGAAAAAACACCTCTCACTCATCATATCCCCTCATTTTAACTCTTTAACATAAACTGTATTTTCTTATGCTCTCATTAATTTAGTTATTCAGCTTTCTCCTACACCTTAATAGAAAGTACAACCCATCAAGTTGGGACTTTTTATGTACTATTCACGAGGTAGCATCCACAACCCACAAGATCTAGGACAGGAAGCCACTGGGGAGTTTGCGGATTCCTAAACGTCTCTGCCACAACTTTGAGTCTGGCATCCTTGTTCGGTGTTTTTATTAAACATCGGGTGGGTATCTCTGACTCTGAAGTTCTTATCACACTGCATTAGAAGTACCTGCATTGGGATTACCAAGAGACTGTGGGCACAGACCGAGTGCCTGGGTTGCAGCTGACAATAAACATGTTCAGTAAAAGCAACACTCAAGAACAACCGGTTCACACCACGGGAGGCCCCAGAGTCGCAGGCGCCACTCAAACAGGAGCGCGCGGACGCTCAGCTGGGCAGGTCCCCGGGCCACGCCACCCCTGCGGGACCGGACTGACCCAGGTCCAGTCAGAGGAGCCCTGGACGCGCTAGACGACGGAACCCTCGTCCCAATTACAACCCCCCAGATTAAAAAAAAAAAAAGAAAGAAAGAAAGAGCCACGCAGGAACCCGTACCAAACAAACTCCTGCAACTTAAACGTGGACGAAACTGCTCCAGAGGCCACTGCCCAGGGGCCACACCAGGGCACGGCTCTGCTCGTCAGCGGCGAGGCCGGTAACAGGGAGAGGGACTGAAGGCCAACGCTCTCTCCAGCAAGGAGTGCCACACACCCCGCAGCGGCTCAGGCCGGATGGCCGCCGCTCGGCCATATCCTCCCTCCAGCCTCTTGACAGCCGTATGAACCCGCCGCGGATACCCACACACCACCTCACCTGGGCGCGGCCATGTTGGAAGTCTCGGCACTACATTTCCCATGCGTCCGCGGGCTGACGGACACCGCTCCCACAAGCCCCTTCGCCTCCCGGAGCGCCAGTGTGGGAAGCACGGCGTGTTAGCTCCAACGGTGCAGAAGGAAGTGGGAAAGATATTGCTAACAGTGCGCACTTAAAAGAGAGTGCTGACCAGCAAGTGATTTCTGATACAGATGTATTTTACCTGCGTTGGTTTCTGAGCTGTGGGGATGTAAGGACGATGGGTGCGACTGGAGGTCATTTTCCTATAGTGTGAATACAATGCCCCACCCGCATCTCACACAGCAGTGTTAATAGTACGGGACTATTTGTTGGGATGCAGCAATGGCAGGCGACAAGGGAAAGCATTGATAAAGACTAGAAATAAAAGACCTGGGAGAGGGGAGAGGAGAAACGTTAAATGTCCACCGTGGCAGTCTTGCTTGATTGAGCACTACTAACTGCTTTCAAAAACATCCCAGTAGTTCTTTTTCCAGTTGTAGAAACTTTTTCTAGTAATCTGAGCTGTCTGGAGCGGTAGATACTACTGATGTGTAGCTTGAGAGCAGTGCGAATGTGACTTGTGCAACCAAGAAACTGAAGCTTGAGTTTTTAGATTATTTTTATTATTTATTAGTAATTATTTTAATTATTATTTAGCTTTAATTAGCTTAAATTTAAATAGATGCATGTGGCTATCACATATTAAACAGAACACTGTAAAACATCCTACCTTCTGATGAAATTACGACTCCTTTTGAAAGACTATACTATTATAGCAACATGGGGAAAATCTGTCAGGTGGGTGGGAATTGGGATGGGAATCCCAATCTATACAGAAGTATACCGCAAAATTCAAAAATTCAAAATAAAACTATAACAACAACAGCAGCAGCAAAAAAATAATAATAAATAAATCCTACCTTCTAATAGCCAAAAGCAATACTTTCAGCTTGGTGTCTGGCCTACTTGAAGAGACTGACGCTTTCAAATCTTTTGCCTTTCCAAGCCTTTGGGAAATCACTCTCTTTCAGTTGTCTTTTGTACATACTGATCGCTTGCTTTCAGAGTTTATGCTACCTTCCCTCTCTTTGTCCATAATTAAGCACAGGCAATCCCTCAATTTTGTGGTTGATTTCTCTGCAGCCTCTTTCCTGTCTGCCTGCCCCAGAATTTTAAAGAAATCTTCATTGTTAACTTCCCTTTAATGAGTTTTTAAATATATATATTTCACCTTTATTTTACTAGAGTTATTAGAGCTTGTAGACCCTTCCTCCACATCCCCTCCACCCCCTCCCTCCCCATTCCAACAGCAGCCTGGACTGGGAGAAGCCTAGAAATAGCAACTAGGAGCTCAGTCCAGACTGCCCATGTGACTGTCAGGCACACTGCTTCATTCACCCATCACTCGCTGCCTCCCCAGGTCCGCATTAGCAAGAAGCTGGAATTGGGTTTCATTAAAGATTTATTTTTATTATTTATTTTTTTTATTGGAGAGGCAGATATACAGAGAGGAAGATCTTCCGTCCGATGATTCACTCCCCAAGTGAGCGCAACGGCCAATGCTATGCCAATCCGAAGCCAGCAGCCTCTTCCAGGTCTCCCACGCGGGTACAGGGTTCCAAAGCTTTGGGCTGTCCTCAACTGCTTTCCTGGGCCACAGGCAGGGAGCTGGAAGGGAAGCGGGGCTGCCAGGATTAGAACTGGTGCCCATATGGGATCCCGGGCGTGCAAGGTGAGGACCTTAACCACTACACCATCGCGCCAGGCCCTATACCCATTCTTAATGTCTCCTGGTTACAAGGTGGCTCCTGTAGCTCTAGACATTTTGTCTCAATACTAATATACTTAACTAAAAGCAAAGGAGCACTGTCTTGGTCTTTTCATACAAGAAATGAATTCCCAAAGAAATTCCCCTGTGTGTTGACCACCTATATATCACAAATGATAGTAGGCAGAATAATGGACTTCCAGAACTATCCACATTCTAGCTCCTCACACCTGTGAATATGCAGATGGAAATAAATTTGCAGCCCTTAAAATAAATTACCCTTACATTAGCCAAGGGCAAAATCTAAGCAGAATTCCTTCAAAGGAGGGCATTTACTCTTGGTGGAGCAAGAGAGATGATGCAGAAGAAGCCAGAATGATTCCAAGTGTGAAAGATTCAGAACTTTATTGCTGATTCTGAGATGTAAGTCCACATACAAGGCCTGGAGGGAGGCATCTGATGAGCTAGGAGCACTCCCAGCTAATCCCCAGCTGGGATATGGGGACCTTGTCCTGTAACCACAGGAACTGGATTCTGCCAACCACCTGAACAAGTCTGCAGACAGATCCTTCACAGCACAAGAACTCCAAAGGCCAGCTTGTTGATTTTGTCTCTATGAAACTCAGTAGAGAAACCAACCAAAGCAACTCAAACTCCTGACCTGAAGAAGAGGAACTGTTTTTAAATGTTTGCGTGCTTTTGAATTGCTTACTTTGTGATAAAATGTTACTGCAGCATTGGAAATAAGCACAGAGGCTTACTCTTGACCAGTTATGACTGCGCTAAGGCAAATCAGCACTGGCTCTAAGAAGCTATGAAAAGGCCTGTCCTTCCCAAGTTCAATGCGGCAGGTGGGGAGAAGAGAGGATGGGTCTGGATGAGAGGATTTAACAGCAGGAGAAAAGGGATACATTGATGGAGAGAGAATTAACAGTGTGTTCCATAAGGGCTACATTTCTGGCCAGAGTATCATACAATAATCATTCTGAAAACCTAAGAAAAAGAGATATGACTAATAAAAGATCCAGAGACAAAATTCTAACAGCACTTGTATTTTTCAAGACTCCTCTTAAATCACACACACACAAAATTCACAGTGGTCCCAACAGTCCCGAGATTCCAAACTGTGGAACTGTCCTGCTGAATTTTAGATTCAATCTTTGTGATCATCAGGTTTCTAACTTTCTTCTCTGTCTCCAAACCTTTGCTTATTTCTGGCTAGCTTCTGGTTTTACTGCCATTTGCACATAATGGTATTTTGGAATTTTTTCCTCCTTTTAGGACAAAGAAGAAAAAAAACTTAATTTCTCAGTCTTTTCACTTCTCTTCTGCTATTAATGGTATTTTTCCTAGGGAAAAATGACAAATAGACATCCAGTTTGCTTCCCAAACTGTGTCTTCTCTGCTGCTTTATCAATTGCTAACTTTTTGGATCTCCAAGAATATTATAGAAAACTGTTTGATGTTTCCTAAGGCATTTCCAGACTGAATGCAATATTCATGCCATGGTGGAAAAATGCAGTGAAAAGTTTGTAATGTATGAGTTTTATGGCAAAAGCATTCCCCATGTAATGAGTGGAAGCAAAAAGTCACACACACACACACACACACACACACACAGAGGAGGAGAACAAGGAAAAGTATCCAGTCTTCAGTTTTTAGTAATAAATCTAAAACTCAGCTTGGAGAATTGCATTTTGATTATTTGAAAAAGTGAGATCTTATCTGTGAAACATTGAGCTCCCCAAATCTTTATTCTTGAGATAAAAGATTTGCTTGTCTTATAGAAAAATTTCTTTCTGTAATGTATTTTTCTAGTAGAGAACAACGAAGTGGTAGGGAAATCTTTCAGGTGACGGTAGGAATGAATTTTGTGCATTCTTTTTTCCATTTTATTTAAAAGATAGATGTATGGGGGGAGGGAAAGAGGGAGGAGGAAAAGAGAGGGAGAGAGATCTGCCATCTGCTAGGTTCACTCTCAAATGCTCAAAAGAGCCAGAGCTGGACCAAGCTGAAGTAAAGAGCGTGGAACTCAATCCAGACTTCCTCTCTGGGCAGAATAAAAGGGACCCAAAGACTTGCGCCATCACCTATTGCCTCCCAGGTTGTAAATCAGTACAGAGCTGAGGCTCGAACCCACACTTCAGTGTATTTCAGAGCAGCCCTTGCGAGGGCTGTGACGTGTGACAATCAAACTTGCAGCCCTAAGAAAGCAAGCAGTGTATGGAATGTGCATGCATAAAAATGTATCTTCCAATACTGCCCTCCAGATCCCCAAAAGCTACCCAGGGGCCTCCAGTGGCTTCACTGTAGAAGCCACCGTGCCAGGGCATGGTTCTCAGAAGGTGACTCTGGGATTACCTAGATCAGATTTACAGCAGCGCTTGCTGGAAAAAAAAAAAAAAATCAGGTTCTAATTCCACTTGACAAAGCAGTCAACTGAACAAAAATATGAATTTCATGAATTCCTCCAAGCCCCCAGTGGGTTTTAATGTGTGATCCAAAATGTCTAACATGAAGTCTAACATGAAGTGTTGCTGCTTTTATAACTAAATGTTCAACCATAGAAGAAAAACACTCTAGAAGTCATTGACGCAGACCCATTCCAGAAATCTTCCCCAGAATCACAAGCTGCCAGATTTCCTATGTATTTAGACTTCCTATTTCAAATGAGCTGGTTTTTTTTTTTTAAAAAAAAACACAATAGTTTAGGACCTAAAGATTTGCTGTAACCCCTAAACTGTGCTCCTTTCCACGTAGCAGGCACCTTTCACCAGGAGGTGGCAGCAAAGAGAAGCAATGGAAACTCCTCAAATAACTGAAATTCCCAAGTCACGTCTCTAAAATGATCCATGAGCCTCCTATTCAGAGTCCTCAGAGGAGACCTAAGTACCAAATCAAGATCAGGTATTTTAAGCAAATGCTACTTACTAATAATTACAAAGGATGTCTCAAAAGTCAACCCAGTTTATACCAAGTATAGTCAAATAGAAGGAGCAAAGTCATCAGAGTCTTGTAACAAGCAAGATGATGAACTAGGATTTCTGCCGTAAGTCACATAACATATCAAACCCGATCTGAAATAAAAAATATTGGTGCCAGTGTCTGGCACCAACTGGTCAACTCGATCATGCACAGGATGCAAGCATGGCTGAATTCTATTGTTAGCAAGAATCTTAGTGTGGTCACTACCAGGGCTGTTGTCTTTATAAAAAATGGTATAGT